TGGTAGGTCTTAAAGGGTTAATGGCACTTGTTCACTTTTACAACAGTCTAAATCCAAACGGTGCCCATTCCTGATTGTCCATTCAGCCGTTTGTCCTCACAGGTGTCAATGCAGACTGTGAACATGGACCTTCTGCTGTCAGGATATACACGTTCCTGTGTAAATGATCATGCAGAGGCCAAAAAATCTCGGAAAATCTGCACAATATTTGGCTCCTGCTTAGTAAAGTATCAAAACACTAATAGTCTCACTTTATTTCCAAATCTTCTGGTTCTTTTTGGTGTTGCACTTGCAGGATTTTACTTGGATGTGCAGATTTTTGCTCTTTGCCTGGAGAGAGCTGTGACGGTGGTCTCAGTGGGCACTGGGACACAAACTGGACATAGAGACTCATCAGTGTAAAATTCTTTTAAAGCTTTGGGGTTTTTGCTCAAAAGTGATTTAACTAGCTTTTCCCAAGCTCATGCTTATATGCAGTGCAGTTTTACAACATTTTGCAGTTTGTGCTGGGAGTCGGGGCAGAATGTGTCATGCAGCTGCAGTCTTTGGCACATTTTCCCATAATTCAATTTTTCAATTCAATTCGATTTTATTTATATAGCGCCAAATCACAACAACAGTCGCCTCAAGGCGCTTAAATACATAGTGACAGCCTAATACAGTCTTGTTGTGTATTCCTTATGACTGCAGACTGTATACAAAGGGATGGATTTTTACACATACAATCCTATAATTACATAATATTTCTGTTTTCATGGTAAGACATGGTTATTAAGACTTGACAGAGGCTATTCTTGAGTTGGCTAGTCACTCAATTCCACGTGTGTGCAGCATTTAACATATCTCCAAAGGGTAATGATGAGTCAGAACAGCATGGCGTTCGTCTGGGATTTTTCGTGAGCGGTATAAGGAAGTAATGTCCTGTTACACAGTCCATCGCAATAGGAGGTATTGTTGGAAGTCTGGAATATGTTTACTGCAAAGCTATGGAGCAAGTCAGGTTTTCTAACATTCAGCAGAATCATTTTTATACTTGCAAAAAA